CTATAGAATATACATGTCAAATGTGTTATGTTGTATAGATATATAATGTGTTTATATAACTCATATATAGTGTGTATAGTGTGAGAATACACACACACACACACACACACACAAAGTACATGTACATGTACATGGAGACACCTAGGTGCTACAGTGGATAGAGCACTGAGCCTGGAGTCAGGAAGACCTGAGTTCAAATCTGACCTCAGATAGCTGTGTTACCCTGGGCATGTCACTTAATGCTGTTTGCCTCAGTTTCCTCACCTGTAAAGATGAGTAGAAGGAAATGGCAAACTACTCCAGTATCTCTTCTAAGAAAACCCAAAATGGGGTCATGAAGAGTTGGACATAACTGAACAGCAAAAGCAAGCTTGCATGAGTATAGTGTATAATATATTATGTACATGTATCTAGTGTGTATATGTTGTGGGAATATATCTAGTATGTGTGTACACACTGTGTGTATATAGCACGTATGAATGTATGTGTGTATTATCTGTGTATCTGTGAGTAAAGAGGTAGAACCCAGGATCAGGTTACATCAACAAAGAGGCTGCCATAGAAACCACCAGGCTGCCGCAACACTGTTGCTCTCATTGGCCTAGAGCCTGAGAGCTCCCTGAGGGATTCAGAGACATTATTACCATGTGAGCTGGCTACAGAAACTAACGTGAAGATGGAAAGACCCAAAGAAAACATTGTTAATGAAATGTATCCCTTCGACAGAGTCTAAAGGTGAATAAGAAAAACCCAAGCCAACTGCCCTCTGTCCTACAGGGCTCCACTTTCCTTGGCCTGGAGCAGCGGCCCCGTCAGACTGACCATGTTCCCAGGTTCAGTCAGTCCAGGGCTATTTCTAACTCTCTCCTCGGGCAAAAGTCCGAGGAGCACGAGGAGTTTTCTGACAATCCCTAAGGGCCCTTCCAAATCTAACAGCCTCATTTTGCAGATGAGAAAACTGAGACCAAAGGGGCAGTGACTTGAAGCCTAGAGGTTATTACAGTACTATTACCATCCTCCTCCAGAGATAGACAAGCTTCCGGTAAACAGGAATTGTTTCATCTCACCTTTGTTCTGCCAGCACCTAGCCATGCCCTACCCTATCATCAGCATCAATTAATGCTTATGTCAAGAAATACATGACTGATAACCTTAAGATACTCAGAGCTATTCCCCATGAAACTGGCCAAAATGTCCATTTTTAAAGCTATATGGGATCAGTTGTCAGGTTGGGAATAGAGAACCTCTAAAATTAAAGGCAACTGATTGAAAATCTTTGGACCATCCACCGAAAAATAAGAAACTTGAAAGGCAGTTTTACATAGCGGGGAATTATTCTTCATGCCCAGTCAATCATCATGCATGTTACCACCCCAGCAGATATCTCCAGAAAAAAAAGCTTATCTCTCTCAGGGAGGACTGCCAAGGTAATTTCACAGAGATCCTTCATTAAAAAAGCAAAAGAAAACTCAAAGTTTCCACTCACGGTAACAGGAGAACTGATTTGCCTTTGTGTGGCCGCTGAAGTAGGGATACAGGAACAATAATGAAAGCATTATGAATACTCTACTGGGACACTTTCACCTGGATCTCTAGCTGGCCGTACAACATTGAGGAATGTACCATGAAACTGAGGTTCACTTGGCCTTTTTCCCCCCTTGGTGACCTAAAATGAATTCTGTTTTAACAGTACGACATATCAAGATTAACTTTCATGAGATGGGATATGGTTGGAACCATTCCAAGCCCTGTTTTACAAATAAAAAAAAAATCTTCTTTGCTGCACTGGACAACATGAGTTAGTTTGTTTTTTAATGGGGAATGTGCTACATTGGGAAAAGTATTAACTCCAGAGTCAGAGATAGAAGATGGACTTAGGATTTCAATGGTGTAGTGAACTCCCAGATAAAAAGACTCCCTCTACCAATGCAGGTCAGCATTTCTCAATAATTTATAGTCTTAGAAAGGCACTTAGAATACTGAAAGGTTATGGGATTAGCCCAGCCAGCACGTGTCAGAGGGAGAACTTGAACCCAAATCTTTTTGGTTCAAGGCTGGCTCTCTATCCATTACTCTCTACCATAACACTGCCATGTCCAAGTCAAAGGATCTGGGTTCAAATCTTAGTTTAGCCATTTAGTATGCATGTAACTTGAAGCAAGTGACTATTCCTCTCTAGCCCCCAATTTTCTCATCCATAAAATAAGGAGGCCAGATATGTGTGTGTGTGTGTGTGTGTAGACAGACGGGATGGGTGACAGATAGTTAGATAGACAGGATAGATGATAGATGATGTATATAATAATACATACATATGTAAAGTTAGTATTGGGGTGAGATTTTTAAACAGTAATTCAATATAAGGCAAGTTCTACAATTCTGATGTCAATCTTGGCTGCCACCCTCAGGTGTTAAAGAAAAAGTCAGAACCAGTCTCACCAGTTTCTACTAAGTGAAACAACCCCAAAATACATAAAATACACAATTTGGAAGCAAACTGAGAAATTTTCTTCCCCTCCAGTGGGGCTGAGACAGAAGCCCTGACACCACTGGAAAAAGTCAGTCCCCACCCACTGTATTGAAATAGAAGAAACTTGCCTAAAAATTAAAGGAAGTTGGAAGGAAAATATCAGCTCACATGACCACAATGAGCTGTCCTGACTCTGGTCCCAAAGCCAGATGCTTGTGGGAGGGCTCACTTTTACACACAGAGAAGGAAAAGGAAGGGAGTGTTGGGGGAGCAGGGGAACCACCCAAATCACTGCCTCCAGGCCCTAACTGTATTTCCACTCAACCAAAGCAGATTAGTGAAGAAAGAAAAAGAAAGGAGGTGGGGGTAGTGAGAGGTCACCATGACAAAGGAATCCAAAAAAGGCAGGGATAATCCTAAACTTGTTTAAGTTTTCATTCCCCCTCTTTTTAAACAATTCACTGCCAGATGGTGGAAAGAGTCCTAAGTTGAGAGTCAGAAGATGGTTTAAATTCCAGCTCTGTGGGAGCCCACGGAGGGCAATTAATGTCTCCAGCTTCCAGTAACCTTCTCTTTAAAATGAAGGAGTGGGACAAGTTTATTATTTTTTTCTTTTTTTTTTTTAAGGCAATTGGAGTTAAGTGACTTGCCCAAGGTCACACAACTAGTAAGTGTCAAGTGTTTGGTCTGAGGCCGAATTTGAACTCAGGTCCTCCTGACTTCAGGGCCGGTGCTCTATCCACAGTGCCACCTAACTGCCCCGGGACAAGTTTATTATTAAGACCCCTTATTTCTTTAAATCTATGATCATTAAAGGGACAGGGGCAGAACTTGGGGTTTAATTAATACTGGAAACTCCCTGATGAGGAAACTCACTCTATCAATGAAAGTTGGCACCTTCTCTGCAACTGAGAGTCTCAGAAAGAACTGCCCAGAGCACTGGGAGGTTGTGACCTGCCCTAGGTCACACAAGCCAGTTGGTGTTTCTGGCTCTAAAACCAGCTCTCTAACCACTAAGCCATACTGCCTGTTCTTAAAATGATAATAAATATTAGCTGCATGGTCACTAAAACAATAAAAATCATTTGCTCAATTTTAATAATATTAAATAGGAGATTGGGAAAGGAAAGGAAAGGACGTTACCATGTTGGTTTCTGAGACGTAGGGAAAAGATGAACAGGACCTGCAAAGAAGAGAGTAATGTGACAGGTTAGTGTATCTTTCTTAAGGACCTAGGCATCCAACTCTCCCAATCTCCAGGAGAGGTGACCCTGTAGAGCTCAAAAGGACTGCGATCAATGCACATCCAAAGAAATAAGGCAGAGCTACCTTCATCCCTACATCTCCCCCACGGGACAGGCGGGGAGGAGACCAGGGGAGTGGCATCTGTAACTAAAGACTCGATCGAGGCACCGGCGTGGGGCCTCCGTGCGGAGGGAAGACAATGTGCTGCCCCGCCCTTGCTCCCCGCCCGAAGGGTATAAGCATTGGGAGAAATGTGGGGGTCACCTAGTCTTAGGATTTAGAGCTGGAAGCTCTAAAGGCCACCTAGGCCACCTGGGCCACCCCCGCCCCCGACTTTACAAAGAGGAAACTGAAGTCCGCAGAGCATTGATTTGCCCAGTTACACCGGCAGTGGCAAAGGTTGGATTTGAACCCGGGTTCACTCTTCTTCCCACTGGGTCATTACAACGTCCTTCTTTTGTAGAGGCGGAAGGAGCTCGCTCAAAGTCATACAGTTAGCAGATGGGTCCCCAGCTAGCGCTCTCTGCATGTCTCAATACCCCAGGGAGAACGTGGCCAGCCTCTGGACTCACTCTCTGTCTCCGAGATGACTTACCCTTGGTGTCTGGTTCTCAGACGTGCCCGGGGCTGGCGGGGCTGGCGGGGCTGGCGGGGCTGGCGGGGCTGGCGGGGCTGGCCGGGCTGCGCTGGGCTGCGCTGGGCTGCGCTGGGCTGGGCTGGAGGGGCGGCGGGGCCGGGATTCAGCAGCAGGAGCAGCGGCGGCAGCGGCAGGAGGAACGCGAGACGAGAGACGTGGCGCAGCAGAGGAGGACCCAGACTTCGCTCTGCCGGCCCAGCTACGGGATCGGTCCCACCCAGGACGTCGGCCCCGCCCCCGATCTCGGCTCCGGCCCCCGGCCCGGCCCCAGCCCCAGCCCCAGACCCACCTCCACGGGCGGGCCCGTCCCAATCTGCCCCGGCGCCTGCGCTTCGTCTGGGGCCCGGCTGGGCTGGGGCTACCGTGGAGCGGGGCGGGGACCTCCGCGATTCCGCTGAGGTGGCCGGGCCCCCGGCGGCAGGGATGGGGACTGCGAGGAGAGAAGTCCGAGGCCTCCCTCCCCCACACTGTACCCTCCCCTCTGTCTAGACACCCCTCCCCCCGCCGCCGCCGAAAATCCGAATTCTGGCCACCAACCCAGCTCCAAGGTCATGGAGGGTGGACAGGGACGCCCTTGACCGCCAGGGGTGTGGGGAGGGAGAAGCTTCCCAGAAGCCTCTTGTTACAAAAAGTTATTGAAAAGATTTCTCACTGGACCCTCGAGTTATACGGAGTTTGCAAAAATGCTCCCAGGGGACGCGGTGTACCGTCCTGGGAAGAACACGAAAATCCGTTGTGGCCTAGCTGGGGCATATAGGACAAGTCGCTCTTCTGTGCCTCAGTTTGCTCAGTTCTCTGCAACGAGAGGGACGGCTGGGTGAGATGATGTCTGGAGTCCTTTGCAGCTCCCAAGCTGAGATTCTACCTCTAAACTTGGAGGCTAAAGTCTTTTAATACTATCTTTTAATGTGTCCATCCACCCAATCATTTATAACCCTAGTGTTAAGGCTACAGGGCCAAATTAATAGCCTATAACCCTACGGTTAAAGCCAGAGGGCCAAACTAAACTCGGGAAGGGGTGGAGGAGGGAGGAGATGCAATGCTGTAAACCTCCCAAGGCTAGGGGCTGTCCAAAAGTGGGGTGCGCTGGCTTAGACCGTAGTGGGGTTCCTTCTCCCTAAAGGTTTCCAAGCAGAGACTGGGTAATCACTTTTAGAGTACATGGGAAAGAGAATTCTTGTTAAGGTGAGGTTTGGTCTAGGGGCCTGTGAAGACTTCACAATCTGAGGGTCGGTGTTTCTGTGACTCTCCTAGAGTGAGCTCAGTATGTCTATCTGGTCCAATCTTTTAATTTTACAGATGAGGAAACTAAGGCCCAGGGATGTGAAATTACTTGCCCAAGGTCATACTCAATCAAAAACCACTTATTAAGTGCTTACCCTAGCCAGGTGTTAGACTATTCAAATAGGTACCAAATGGCAGAGACTTTCCCTAATTAGCCCAGAAAACTTTTTTGTCACTTGTCACCACAGGAACATTCAAAGTTCTAATCAAGTGCTTAAGTCCCTAAGGAATTTCTATTTCATTCATGCTATGGTGTGAATGACAGAATGTTAACCCTACAAATCATTGTTTCCATTTTTTTCTGATTTTAAAACTTTTATGTTTAGTATAGTACAGTCTATGTGGTGGCAGACATGTTTGCACAAAGAGCTCAAATCAAAATTCAGAGTAAAAAAGAGCTCAAGGTTTACCCCCAAAGGGTCATTTAATACCTATGGCCATTTCATAGCAATTCTTCTCCTCCCCCGTTTCTCAGCACAGTGCACTGATTACCCTAATCATGGTACTAGTGGGGTGCCATAAGGGAAAAGTGGGGACTGTGGAAGCAGCTGGGGCTTTTCAACCTTTACAAGGGTTCCCTTCCCACCCCACAAATGGTGGGAGGAGGAGGAAGACCAAGCCCTTATTAAATCATTCCCTTACCCACCACACAGGAGGGTCTAGGCTAAGGGAAGGCCTAGGGCAGAGGCATTGCAGGAGAGCTTTACCACACTCCATCAGCTGGTGGAAGCATGTGGTGGCACTGTATGAACTGTCCCTCCCTACTGCCCCAAGCCCACCACCTACCCCAGGCACTCTGGCCCCTTTCACCAAAGTCCAGCAATTAGGGGAAGGGTTCTTTCTAGTCACCGTAGGATACCTCTGGATAATAAAGTGTGTACACCAGTCACAAGGAAGCTACAGTGTGAGCTCTATGTCCACGTGCTTTCTTGAGCATTGTCAACTTGGATTCAAAGGTTAGGATAGTAGTGTCCTGGACTTGTAGAGGCACACACCATGCTCTCTATGCAGTGACACCATGGGCAGCTCCTGTTTCCTTCTGCAAGCTAGTAGTGTCTACAATGCATGGCCATTGCCAAACATCCTGCCACAACCTTATCAGCAAATTTTAAAAAATACATACCAATGAAACGATAAGAACCAGCCACCACCACCCCCCAACACACACACACACACACACAATGCTGCTTGCTCTTGGTATGTAGGGGAGTATAAGCTCCCCACCTGCCCCGAGGAGGAGCAAAGGATGATGAGATACTCAACTCCCACAACCTGGTTTGTTTCCTAACCTCATGTTAAAGACTCCTAGTGAAATCGCCAGTGAGATAGAAAATAAAGGTCACTCTATTTTATTATAATCTCTGTAGTCTCCCATTTATCGATGTTCCCAAGGGAGATGAGCCAAGCCTCTCTGGCTTCAGGTGCAGGAGTCCCGCCCAGAGGAGAAATCCCGCCCAGCTGCGCTTATCACACAAACAGTTCAGGGAGCCCCTGCTTTAAGTGGCTCCAAGGTTCACAGGCCTAGTTTCCTCTTCTGGTCGAACTAGGCATCAAACCTGGCTAGTTCGTAGTCCATGTACCCAAACTCTAGAGAGGAAATTTCGGCTTGTATGACTGCCCAAAGTCCCCCTAAGAAATGGGACGCCAAGGCAAACCTGTTGATCTCTACCAACATTTCTCCCTCCATTCTGCACTTCCCTCCCTTGCTGGGATTTTCGAATCCCTTTTGGAAGGCAGCCGAGTAGCTGGAAATGAAATGGAGCTGTTGTTCCTTGGAAGGTACTTCAGTATGTGGGCTCTGAAAAACGGGTACTTTTCGTAAGTGTAGCCATAGGTCCATTCACAGAAGTGTTTGCCGATGTCACAGCCTCTGTAATTGTAACTGCTGGATTCACAGTCGATGAGCATCAGCTGTGGCTTTTCCCAGCTCTCCCTGCGTTCCAGCAAGACAATGTTCCCTTCTTGACAGCCATTATGGCAAAACACCACTGGAGAGACAGTTGATTCCAGCAAAGACCTTAGACTTCCCATTTCCAAAGGCAGGTTATAACTGAGGACTTGGTTGAGTTTTTTAACTCGACATTCTCTGGTGAATTTAATTGTCAGAACTTGATCTAAATATTTCTCCATGGTTCCAAAAAGCCATTCGGGTTCTTTACTGAAGGGCATCTTCATGCCATGCACCCGGCCATTTTCTCCGCTATTTCCACAGAGATGTGAGGCAAACTTAACTCCTGGGAGTCTAAGCGGCGGCTGCGGATGACCTGCTCCAGGCCGCCTTGTGGGAAGATCCCGTAGACCTTTGGGCCCAGGGACCTCTCGGCCAGGACGGCCGACTTGACACTTTCCCGCTCCGCCACTTCAGCCCCTGGTCCGGCCTGCTCGCTCCGGGCCTGCCCGGCTACCTCTGGATCCCAGGCCCTCGTCTGCAGCTCGGCTCCATACAGGCGCAGAAGCACGTGGCGGGGCTCGTCCGAGACGCCCTGGACACTGTCCGGCAAGGAGCAGAGGAAGAGCAGGTTGCTGAGGCCGCCGTGCACGCGGAGCTCAGCCCCGGACAGAGCCTTCCAGGCTCCGGGCAGGAACTCCCGGCACCAGCCATAGGCCTGGCTGCGGGGGCGGCGGGCGGCAGCGGAGGCTGGAGCGCGGTCTTCCGGGGTGAGGCACGAGTCTGAGAGAACGTGACCTGAACAAGGTCACACAAGAGTAAGTAACAGAGCTCGGATTCCCAAGGACAGTCAAAGGACTCTCGAGTGGGTGGCAAACGTCGGGGTGGGGGTGATGTTTTGAGCCACTGATTTTCCCGGTGTCCTTCACCCATAAGCAGACCACAGATCAACAGCTCAGCACCCTACTTTGGAAAAATGGCCATTTCCTCTACCACGTTGGTGCTGAGGATAGAAATAAAGCGAATGGGAGAATTTAAGCAAGACAGAACACAGACTGGGTCAGGTCTAAACCCGCAACCTCAAATTGAATAAATGAATAGTATTTGATAGGCCTTCATTATGTTGAAGAAAAACAAGCACTCTGCTTGTTTATCATTAACTTACTTGTCAGAAAGGTTTATTGATTATCTAAATCCAAGGATCTCTCCTTAAAAATCCAAAGGAACAGTTATTGTCTCGATTTTTAAAATCTCTCTGACCCAAGCATTTCCACATACAATGTTATAGTAATAATAAAACAGACAAAATACTCCAGAGAAAGATTAAAGTTTAATAGAGACTTTTCACTAAATGCCACTACAGAAATATTACTGTGCAGAGATGCTTTCTTCCTAGAAAACCAAGGTCTAGTCCAGGGCATATGGTTCTCCTAGTTTAATTAAAGAACAGTATTTCCACTTCTTTTGCCTTCGTTCCTTTTTGTGTGTGTGTGAGACAATTGGGGTTAAGTGACTGGCCCAAAGTCACACAGCTGGAGCTGAACTCAGGTCCTCCTGACTCCAGGGCTGGTGCTCTCTCCACTGCACCACCTACGTGCAGACATTTCCACTTCTAGTTCAGTTACCATAAACAGTTTTTCATTATACCAACTGATTAGGTCTTTGAAAAGAATTTAACTTCCAAGACAATTCCAAAGAACTCATGATGAAAAATGCTATCCACATCCAAAGAAAGAACTGATAGACTCTGAATGCAGATCAAAACATACTGTTTTCACTTTTTTTGTGTTTTTTTTTCCCTTTTGGTCTGTTTCTTCTTTCACAACATGACTAATATGGAAATAAGTTTCACATGATTGCACACATATAACCTATATCGAATTGCCTACTGTTTTAGGAAGAGGGGGGTGAAGTGAGGGAAAATTTTTGGAACTCAAAATCCTGCAAAAATGAATGCTAAAGATTGTCTTTACATATAATTTGAAAAAATACAATAGTATTAAAAAGAAAACAGAAAACGAAAAATGAAAAAAGAAAAGACTATAACTAAAATTTTTAGACCAGGACATTGTCCCTTTGGAATGTGATTAAGTACAGATAACATTTGAGACCAAGGATGTCAGGCATTGTAGTATTTTCCAAGGATGAGAAGAGTGGGGACTTGGTATTCTTCTACCACTATGTTCCCAAACACTTAGCTGAACTAAGGGGATACAAAAGGAAAAGGGGAGCAGCCCAGCCCACTCTGAGCATATAAGAGCTTATATGCTTTTTATCTATTTTAGATATTTTTAATAAATCTTATTGAGATCTTTTGTTTTTACATCACCTACATTTCCCAGTATTACCCTCTGAATTTTCTGAAAAGGAAGATAAAAAATGTTCAGAAAAATTAAACATCAAAAAAGCCTGACATTATAGGCAGTGTTTCATTCTCTTTGTGTCCTGTCTCGGCAAAAAAGCAGAGAGAAGTGTCTTCTCACACATCTCCTTTTAGGCCAACCTTGCTATAATTCAATTTCCATGGTTGTGCCATTGCTGTGCCCATGTACATCATTGTAATGCTTCTCTAGATGCATATTTTCCTGGTTCTACTTATTTCACTTTCTCTCATTTTATATATTCATCGTATTCATCTTTTCTCACAACATGACATTCATGCACCACAACTTGTTTACCCATTCCCCAACTGATGGACATTTCACTTATTTCCAGTTCTTTGCTACCACAAAAATAAGTGTTGCTCTAATAGTTTGATGTCTATGGGGACTTTCTTTCCATCTTTGACCTCCTTAGAGGTTTTGCCCAGCAGTGAGATATCTGGGCCAAAGAATATGGATATCTTAGTCACTTTCTAGGCATTATTCCAAATCTCATTCCAGAATAGAAATGAGATTTAAAAAAAAAAAAGACCAGAGGAAAAATTCCAATATTATGATGTAATTTGAAAGGCAAATCAGATTTCATATGTAAACATTGGGCTGATTGAAGATTTTTCAAGTCAAAAAGCATTTAATAAACATATATTATGCCAGCAACTGTGCTAACCACACAAAAATATGACCATACCATAAATTAATTTAAACCTATTGATCTAAAACACATGAAAAAGGGAAGGGAAATATCTAGCTAATGAGAAAACCTTACTTCTTATTCTTTTTTTTTTCTTATTCTTAGTAAAAAAAAATTATCTAAAATTAAAATTTAGTAAAACAAAAAATAGGATATGTTCCAACTGCTAGCCTGCTAGGAAGTTAGGAGTTTCCTCCACTGCAGAGGAAGTCAATTCCATGTTCTTTTCTTAGTGAGTGGAACTTTAAAAAGAGGTCCAGTCCTTGCCAGTCCTGCCAGAGCCAAGGATGCCTCTTGGAATCAGTCCAGCTCCTTCAGAGTTCAGATGGTTTTACAATAGCTGACTCGTAAAGAGTAGCATGGGGCAAATAAAGAACCAAGTCCTGAATTCAGAGTTATCCCACGAAGGAACATAGCCCTGCATTTGCCCCAGTTTTATTTCAGGGTAAATTAGCTAATTTCTGGCATCAAGCAGCAAAATACTACATAAATTTCAAGAACCAAATTCTGTAAATGCCTTGCTCGCTGTTTGTGTTGAAGTACTTTTGAACTTCTAAGATGAAAGGTCCCATCAGCACCCTCCATTGATGGGGACTCTCAGAATCTCAGAGCTGAAAGCGACCTCAGAGGCCAATGAGACCCAGTGATACCTGAATAGGCATCTGCTCTCCAACAAGTTGTCCTCCAACCTCCACTTGGAAACTTCTACTGAGGGGAAATTTAGGACCTTCTGACTCAGCCCATTTTACTTTCTTTTTCCTAACATAAGATCTAAACCTGTTTCTCTGCAACTGCTGCCTATCTCTCCTATTTTTACCTTCTGGGGCCAAACAAAATAAGATTTCCTGTTACATGAAACAGACCTTTAGATCCTTGGAGATGACTAACATATCAATCAATCCACAAGTTATTATTAAGGGCCAGCCGTTGTATAGTCCCTTCTAAGGCTTCTTTTCTCCAAGTGGAATGTTCTTAGTTCCATCAGCCAATCCTTTAGTGTGACATGAGCTGGAGGCATGTCACCAGCCTCCTCACCCTCTTCCTGATATTTGTCCAGTTTGTCAATATTCCTGATAAACTGTGGCCCCCAGAACTGACTGGGGAAGTGATCTGAACAGAGAAAAATAGATAAGTAGATTATGGTTGTTACTTCCCTCACCCTAACACTTTGCTTCTCTTAAGGCAGTCATATATAATATATGCATTATATATTATATATAATAAGAGAATGTTCTCTCTCTCTCTCTCTGTCTCTCTCTCTCTCTCTGTCTCTCTCTCTCTCTCTCTCTCTGCTCTGCCAGGATAATGATTGACTCACATTGATGTTACATTCCACAAAACCTCAGGTTGTTTTTTTACCTATTATCTACTTTTACCTTTCTCAGAGTCTCTGAGTCTGACGAAATAGGAAAGAGGGTCATAGTATCATGGGATCATAGATCTAGAACTGCAAGGAACTTTAGAGACCATCACGTCCAATCCCCAAATTTTCAAGGAAGGAAACTGAGGCACAGAGAGACTAGGTGATATACCCAGGTGCTTGTAGCCTTTCTGATTGTCTGCAAAGAGGATAAATGCATTGTTTATTGTGGGGAATGTTTCCCCACAGCTTTGCCTAAGAGCTGGGAAAACATTTGGAATATTTCTTAAAATTCTCTTGAGTTCATTGGGGGGCAGAGCCTTTGGGAATCATTTTTTGGGTCCAGACCTATGATTTTAGTGGTATAAAGAACTCTCCTGGAAAGAACTGGTGGAGCCTAAATGCAGACTGAAGCTACTTTTTCTTTATATCTATCTCAGGTTTTGGGGTTTTTTTTTTTGCCTGTGTTTTCTTTTACAACATGACTTACATGGAAATGTGTTTTGCATGATGACACATGTATAAGCTATGTCAAATTGCTTGTCTTCTCAATGGAGGGGGAGATGGAGGGAGAGAATTTGGACCTCAAAATTTGAAAAAAAGAATGTTAAAATTGCTTTTTATATGTAATTGGGGAAAAAAATTTTAAAAGAACTCTCCTAGGTGGGGAAATTCCTTGTGCTAATACAGATTGACAGCTCTTCTTTAGCTTCTAGTCTTAGAGAAATGTCTTGTCCTGGAGCTAATAAATTCATCAGACTATAGGATCACAAAGAAACAGACACATACTGGAGGAGGTGACCCTGGGCCAGCCACCTAACCTCTTAGTGCTCTAGGCAGGCTCTAAGACTCTAAGCTGCAAAGAAGTTGCACCTTGAATTGATAGAGTAAATTCCCAGAACTCTCTTCACCACTGACATCTCAGGTCCAATCCTTATCCTACAGGCCATAGCTTTAGATAGAAAGGACCTTTGAAGCCTTCTCATCCATTCCCCTCATTTTACAGGTGGTTCAAAGGCAGGCCTAGAACCCTGGTCTTCCTGACTCCAAGGCCTGCCCTCTAGCCACACTCTGTTTTGCATGATTGTTATTGTTGTTTGTCCTTCAGTTTTGGAGATGACCAATGACATCTAGGGTTAAGTCTTGACTTGCTCATGAATTGGATTTAAGTGAGGCAAAGTTGCACAAAGTCATCAGCCTCACTCTTCCTGAGTCATTGACATCCAGTGGTAGGACAGAAATCAAGAAGGGGTGATGGCTTGGGATACAGAAGATAACCTTGGCATCTTCATACCTGACCAAGCTCCAAGTGTTCCACAGTGCCTACTCCAGGTGCCTTCATGGTCATTGGAACAAATTGTTCTCATCCACCCATTCTGTCAGGGGAAGACTTCACATGCTTGAGATAGACATCCCCCTAACTCATCGACAGATTTGAGGCCTGTCAGTTACCCCCAACCTGGTTTAGCCCATCTGCCAAGACAGTTTGTGGGGTGTGGCC